AAATGACACTCTGGCAACACAGCACGCTAAAACGCTGAAAATCAGAGATTTTGTAAAGAATTATTTAGGGTATTTTTCTTCCCAATAAGCCTAAATCAGGTTCCAAACGCGATTTTCAAAGCATTGGGCTATGCAATGATGCAAACCATATCCTCATATAACTTCCCATTTTTGAACTATTGCGTTTTGAATTCAGTGAAAATTTGTCTAGGTTACATGCATTGTAAATGGGATCAGCTGGTTACTTTACCAAAGTGGTAACCAGCGACGTCATATGCGCACGAAAATCGAGTTTTCGACCGATTAATATCCTACCTTGTATTCATTGTATCATGGAGTAAAAGTATGTCAAATCTTTCACTTTCAATCTTTTGACAATAGCCATGACGTAATTGAAGCAGAAAGTACGCATTTAATTAAACAGACGGTGCAACTCAAGCAAATCTGATGAATATTCAACATTTTCTGTCTATTTTGAACTGTTTTTGAGCGGTCGCAATCTTCAACGGACGATATCTTCCTTATTTCCGACCCACAACTTTCATGTTCGCTTTCGGGCAACTTCTTAGGTCGGAAACAATCCAATAAGGGCAAAAAACGCGATTGCAAAATTTTGATTTTTGGTCGAAAATTTCATAAGGGAGTCAGAGGTCGATTTTTCCAAAAAATTCAAGTTCCTCAAAATACGCCGAGTGATACATCATTTTCATCGCAAAGAGACAAGGAATGCAACGAGCTAATTAAAAGACCCCGCGGCCTTTCCAGTTTTCAAATAATCAACATTTTCTGTCTATTTTCAACGGTTTTTGAGCGGTCGCAATCTTCAGCGGACGATATCTTACTTACTTTTTACCCACAACTTTTATATTCGCGATTGGGCAGCTTCTTAGATCGTAAACAATCCTATAAGGGCAAAAAACGCGATTGCGAAATTTTCATTTTTGGTCCAACATTTCATAAGGGGGGATTTTTCCAAAAAATTCAAGTTCCTGAAAATACCTCGACTGATACATCATTATCGACCCACAACTTTCATGTTCGCCATTGGGCAACTTAATAAAGGCAAAAAACGCGATTGCAAAATTTTGGTATTTTTGGTCGAACATTTCATAAGNGGATCAGGAGAATCTCTACAGGAATTCAGAGTTAAAGGTCGATTTTTCCAAAAAATTCAAGTTTCTCAAAATACCTCAAGTGATATATCATTTTCAGTGCTATGGACTGGTACTATTCGAAGGACCAATGTGTATAGGGTGCCAGTGTTTGGTGGGTATCGTTGAGAGCAGTTGCAGGAGTAAATGAAATCTGCCCATTTCGTATGTGCCTGCCTAACTTGCACGGGTGACACGTTTATTTTGCCACTTTTTCCAATTGGCCTGGGCAGTACGTTCTTTGAAATGGGCTGAGTAGCGTAATTCTAATTGAGTGGGGAACTGTTTCCAATTAGTTCACTTGAGCACTGATTTGATTTGAGGGTGAAGAATTACGGGTTGGGGTTTGAGACGCTTCTCTTCCAGAGTCTGCTATGTGTATTGCTTTGAGGCGAAACACTCCCAATGTGTACGACTTGAGGTGTAACGAAAAACTGTGATCTCTGGTCACTTTTTGTCGACTGAGGTAGGGAGGAAATCAGAAGTGCAGGGTGAGGGAAACAGGGTATTTCCCACGCTCTGTGCTCGGCTCTGTTGGGTAGTCGCTTCAAAGACTTAAACTTTCAATAGTGAAAAGAGTAGCCGAGCACAGTTGTGTGTTTGTAGTAGACATTAGGTATATAATGCATTTAGTTAAGTGAGAACTACTTGGAAACGAAAGCAATCACCAATTGCATCAAGGCTTTCACCATGCAATTCGAGCAGTGGTACCATAGTGGTACCGCTTAGCGGGGTGTTTGAGATTCCCAATTGTGGCCCGACAGACACGGCTAATTTGAGACCTTCCCGGGAATCGGTGACAAGGGCGCACCGTTTCAGGAATTCAGCATTGAAACGTAACTTGGACATTAACTGTATCCATTGTTTAAATGTTATTTGAACACTTACATTAAAATGATCGTAACATACATGAGCAGTAGTCTTCTCAGAAATATTCTTGTATACCTTTAACCATTTTAAACGCCGGCTTTGATCTCGTGGTACACGAATAACTAGCTTTTCTGGCATTTTAAAAGTTGTACTAGGATATAGTGGCACCGTACAACATTTGTAATATTATTTTTGTGTTGCTTTCATTATTAATAAAGCACAGTACGAATTCTGAACATTCAAACACCCAAACAATTCAACGACAAGCCGTACTCCCGTACTGCCTTTTGATCGAACGACCAGCGATATAGCACTATAAAAATACAGCAGACTCGTCCGCCATTGTGGAGCCCAATTTCTGACCTTCCTCATGTATTTGTAATATGGTGCTATTGAGTTTTCTTTTAATTTCGAAAATATGACTAGTTGTTTAAGTCCCAACTGCAGCAATCATTCAAGAAATGATTTTAAATTTTGTAGATATGTATTATGTTGATAGAAAGTCTCAATTTAGTATAAAAATCTAATTTATTTTAAGATTATTATTGTGATGACTTACATATTTAAAATTACTTAATTACTTTAAAACATATATGTATATCGGTTGATTGGCTTTAGAATCAATCGTATCGGACTGTTAATAACAATGGTCTTTAGAACAATTAAAACAATTCAAAAATGATCGAGTTATATATTTACACATG